GCTAAATAATCCGCCAATGGGGTAAGCAACATAATCTTGTTTTTTCTTTTGATGTAAGATTATTTTGCTTACCCCATTGGCGGATTATTTTGCTTATTTTAAGGAAAAACTCACTTAATATTGACATATTATTTCTCAAAACAAGACAATATGTTTTGCTTATCTAAAAAAATAAAAAATACTTCTTGATATAAGAAATTTTAGATATTTAGACTACAAACAAGACAAAAAAATCTAAGCAAGAAAAGCATTTTTTGTAGTGCAGCCAGAACACATAACTGTGCATATGCTTTGTTAAATAAAAAGTGTAGTATTCAGCTATATTTTGCATGTTTTCGCACATTTAAAATTGTGGCTAATAAATAATTAAATGTTTATTTATGGTGTGGTCAGAGATAAATTGGCTAAATCCTTCCATTTTGGGCACTGAAAATGATGAAAACTAATTGTAATATATGAAACCCTGACCCATCTGCTCATGATTATTGTGCAAGCTCATACACGACACACAAAAAGTGAAATGAATGAAGAGGCATGTAGAGATAACGCAAACTCTAAATCAAATAATTTTAGCATGTCAAAGTCATATTTATGTGTATAAAATATATTTTCCCAACAATAAAATTGTGGCTAGTGAAAATGGCGAGTGGCTAGTAATGTTGGAAAACTACTAGCCACAGTGGCCGGTGGTCAAAAAAGTTCATGTTAAGCCCTGCTGGTAACTAACATTAGGAGTGTCTGCTGACTAACCGTTGCAGAATCTGAACGGCAGGCTGTACGGGGCGATGGAAACCCCCGTCTGCTGAATCTCGGGACTGAACTGGAGAACATACTCGGCTCCGTCCACCCCGGGACTGTTCTCTAGCAGAACCAGATCCTAAAGGAAACAAACAACACTTGTATACACACACAGCAAGAAGGATTTCTTTTTACATGCAGTTTTTTTTATTTCTTTAAATAAATGAATAACAAATAAATGAAATTAAAACATGAGACGAGTAGAAAATTCTCAGTTTCAATAATACTACGCTTTTTTTTGTGTCAATTTATTTATTTACGGCTTTATTTTATTCTGATTTTAATTACAGTTCTATTGTACAATTTCTCCTTATACACAATATAGATTTATATACTAACAATTATTCAAACCAATACAAGAAAACAAAAGCAAGCACTCACAGTAATGACAGTCTCTCCGTTAGTAAGGCTGTATGACCGACGTTTCTCTTTATTCTCAAACAAAGGAATCACAATGTCTCCAGTGCCGGTCACTGTAACAACCACTTGTCCATCCAGACCTTCACCAGCAACGTTACTGTACTGATCCTGCAAGGTAACCAGCAAACACACATCAAGACCTGTTGCATTATTTATGCGTGAAATGCCAGAAAATCATTGCATGGATTACCCTAAATGTATATTAAAATTGTGACTTAACCGTAAACACAAAAAGTAGCGTGCAATCAGAAATATAAGGACGCCGCTTTAAATCTGTATTTAAAATGAAAGCAGTAGGAGGTTTTGCTTTGCAGTCATTATTATTATTATTATTATTTTTTATTAGAATATGCAAAAATCATACAAATACAAGAAAAAAAAAAATCAACAAATAACAAATACAAAGCAACGAAACAAAAACAAAACAAAAACAACAACAATATAGTCATGTACTGGGGTCCGTTCTTCGTAACTCGCTTAAATGATCTGAGATTATTTGGCAGATCCCGGATCTTTTAATCTTGATAACTGATCTCTCGCTAATTTGGTTCTTCAAACAAGTTCGCGAATCAGATTAGAATGTCTGGATGAACTGATCTGAGATCGCTGCGTGTGTTATGAAGGACAGATCTATCGATCCTCGAAATCATGATCAGCAATGCAACGATTGGCTGACGGCACAGCAGCGAAATGACATCATCTGATTAATATTCAATTATCCATGTGAGCAAAATTACATCAAATTAGCAGTAAACGGCTTGTTAAATATGACACGCAAGAACTTTCCACATTTGTTGTGAGCTGCAGGCTTTACACTTTCATTTGTCAAGACAAGAGTATTCATCATGTATTTCAATGCAAATCAGTGTATTTAGTTCTACATTTAGAAAAGATTTTCTTTATGATAGTAGCCGTTTTTTAATCGGTGTAAAGAATAACTGGTTGTTTACAAAAGCATTTTCATATTGGCATCAAATCACTGGCATATTAACAAATCATGTTTATGACTGCATAAATGTATTATTGCTTTAAAAAAGTCACATATTGTGCCTTTCTATTATACACAATTTGTACTAAAGCGATCTAAAAAGTTCATATCAATAAGTTTTGTCTTTGTACTTTCATTTCGAGGGTGCAGATTGCATACGTTTTATTAATATGTATAACTTTATTTATTTTATTAATGACTATAACTTTATATATATATAGTTAAAAAATATGTACCATTTCCCTAACTTTATATAACTACTACTGTAAGAAAATATCAGAATTGGGAACATACTTTCTGTATTATCTTTGCTTGAACTGAGCCGATCTAATCCTGTTTATATGAATTGAACCTGCTCCCGACCAGGTTTGACCTAGCAGAACTGTTGCTATGACAACAACTCTCGGATCAGCTTTGAAGAACGAAACGATCCTGGATCATGTCAAATCGTCAATATCCAAATCCAGCTAACTGAGTAATCCACGTACGAAGAACGGATCCCTGGTATGTGCTTGAGTGTGTGCGTGTGAGTGTGTGTATGCATGTAAAGGTAACTTGGTGGACAGGTCAGAGTACATACATAAGGAACAATAACAGTCAATAAATGAAGCAAGTGTCACAGATATAGATAAAACATATAGAAAGAAACTTGTCAGAGGTAGGGATTAACAACAATGCTTATTAATGTATGATAGTAAAAATGAGAGTAAAAAAAGAAAGGACAACAGTAATAAATGACAACAATAATAATAAATCACAAGTGCTACACCAACTACTACTACAGAAAGTTACTTATATTACAACTACTACTGCTTCTACTACTACAATGTCTACTAATACTGATACTACTACCACTACTGATACTACTATAGCGTTTGCAGTCATTATAATAGCAGTGTTCAGTTGTGTTGAGCTCAACTTACTTACTCAACACTATTTCTCCCTCCAAGACTGAAACTCACCATGATCTTTAGAGTCAAGCTGTACAACAGCGTCCGATTGGCCCGAACGTTACTATTGGACACAACAGGAGTAGCAGGTGGAATCTCAGGGGCTAACTTCGTGGCTTTATTGGCAAATACATTCAGTGGAATCTAAGACCGAAACACAGATGAGCATCTTGCATTAAGTACAGGGTGGGCCATTAATATGGATACACATTAATAAAATGGGAATGGTTGGTGATATTAACGTCCTGTTTGTGGCACATTAGTATATATAACTTTTCACGACGGGTGGTGATCATTGCTGGCCCATTTGAAGTCGGCCATCTTGGATCCAACTTTTGTTTTTTCGATAGGAAGAGGGTCATGTGACACATCAAACGTATTGGGAATTTCACAAGAAAAACAATGGCGTGCTTGGTTTTACCATAACTTTATTCTTTCATGAGTTATTTACAAGTTTCTGACCACTTATAAAATGTGTTCAATGTGCTGCCCGTTGTGTTGGATTGTCAATGCAAGCCTCTTCTCCCACTCTTCACACACTGATAGCAACACCGCAGGAGAAATGCCAGCACAGGCTTCCTGTATCCGTAGTTTCAGGTGCTGCACATCTTGTAGCTTCACACCATAGACAACTGGCTTCAGATGACATCATCATGGAGCAATTTCAAATATCCAGCGGCCTTGAGGTTTCCACTGATGAAGAATGGCTCCACTATCTTTGTTGTCTTTGGTGTGAAGATACAAGATGTGCAGCACCTGAAACTACGGATACTGGAAGCCTGTGCTGGCATTTCTCCTGCGGTGTTGCTATCAGTGTGTGAAGAGTGGGAGAAGAGGCTTGCATTGACAATCCAACATAATGAGCAGTACATTGAACACATTTTATTAGTGGTCAGAAACTTGTAAATAACTCATGAAAGAATAAAGTTACAGTAAAACCGAGCACACCATTGCTTTTCTTGTGAAATTCCCCATAAGTTTAATTCGTCACATGACCCTCTTCCTATTGAAAAAACAAAAGCTGGATTTAAGATGGCTGAGTTCAAAATGGCCACCATGGTCACCACCCATCTTGAAAAGTTTGCCCCCTCACATATACTAATGTGCTGCAAACAGCAAGTTAATATCACCAGCCATTCCCATTTTATTAGGTGTATCCATATAAACGGCCCACTCTATATATAAAATGAAGCAACACACACCAAAGATATTGGATGAAATAAATTGAGTTCTCACCTGTTTGCTCCATAGATGTTTGGTTTGGTCTAAAGCCAAAACAAACTGCACAACATATTGGCCTGCTAGCTCAGGAATCTGCTTATCTCTGGGGAACAAAAATAGACAATCGCATTTAATGGAAATTAAAAATCAAAGACAAAACAACATGTACTTTAATACTTGATTTAATACATAATGTTTTTTAAAATCACCAGTGTGACTTGTAGTGGTGTAACGGACTATTAGGTTAACTAGGCAAGTTAGGGTAATTACGCAAGTCATTGTATAACAGTGGTTTGCTTTGGAGGCAATCGAAAACACAATATTGCTAAAGGGGGCTAATAATATTGACCTTAAAATGTTTTAAAAAAACTAAAAACTGCTTTTATTCCAGCTGAAATAAAACAATTAAGACCTTCTCCAGAAGAAAAAATATTAAAGGAAATATTGTGAAAAATTCCTGAATCCGTTAAAAATCATTTTAATATTATTAAAAAAAGAAAGAAAATATTCACAGGAGGGTTAATAATTTTGACCTCAGCTGTATTTTTCATGACAGCGTTTTAAAATATTAGATCTGATGATTCTGCTGTGATATTTACTGCTTCAAAAGCAACAATCTTTTACCTGAAGCAGAAGCTGTCGTCTTTCTCTGAGTCTTTCCGTTTACTGCACTTTAGCGTCGAGGCCTAAAGAGAAAACAACACATTATTTTATATTCTATCCTGTCATGTATTCTCCCATGCATGACATTACAATTGGGTCAAATAATTACAGTGTTTTGTCAGACATTAGCCACAATATTCAATTCAATTCACCTTTATTTGTTTAGCGCTTTTACATTGTAAATTGTGTCAAAGCAGCTTAACATAGAAGGTTATAGTAAACTGAAACTGTTAGTTCAGTTTTCAGAGGTGAAGTTCAGTTTAGTTTAGTTCAGGGTGGTTTAATTTTCACTGCTGAAAGTCCAAACACTGAAGAGCAAATTCATTGATGCGCAGCTCTTCAGATCTCGCATGCAAGCCAGCGGCGACAGTGGAGGAACAAACTTCACCAATTGACAAAAGGGAAGGGAAAAAAAACTTGAGAGAAGCACGAGTTGGGCACGATCATTTCTCCTCTGCCCAAACTACCTGCGTGGAGCTGCAGTCTAGGCGCCGGAGGCTGGAGAACACTGTACGTCCATCATGAAAAACTGCAGGTGTGAGTGGGTCACCAGCGAGTGATCATATCTCGCAATATCCAACCATTCAGATATTGTAGGGGGTTCAAGTTGTAGCCACTTATGAGTTAGTTTTTTTGCTGGTTGCTTGAAGTATTTTTATTAAATGTTTAACTTTTACCATTAAGTTTGCTACTACATTCCCAAGTAAATTGTTGTAAAAGACATGGCATGGCATAATTTAAAGAAATATGTGGAAGAACTGGCATTGGCATACATACACAGAATGATATGCGTTACTTCAAAATTTAATGGACAACTCAGTGTAGAAAAATCATGAAACTTTATATTTATTTAGACCAAAATCTCACTCATTCTGATTTATTGTAAATAAAAAATGATCACAAACATTCATTCGAAAAGCTTCCGAGCGGTGAGAAAATCATTGCAACTTTCAAAAGTAAAAGTTTGACATTTCGTGAGTTTCATAAAAGTTTCATAAATGCATTTAAATACTAAAAAAAAAAAGCCACTCACTGCGGCGGGAGGACAGGAGCCTGACGCCGTGCCTTTCCACAGCAGCATGGACAGATTTGCAGGACAGATGTTTTTCACCGCTGAGCCTTCTTCAGACTTCACCACCACCATAAAATCTTCAGACACACGAAAACAAAATTAGCATTCAGTGTTTCCATTTTTAAAACAAATATCAAATTCCCTGGAAAAAGAGGCTGAATTTCCATGACATCTACAAGACGGAAATTTGGATGCTCTAGTGTTTTATATTATTTAATAATAAGATGTTTAAAGGTGAATTGCAGATTTTTTTTTCTGTGTTTGATGTTATTTAAGCTGAAACATGAAGAGAGGGCGGGACAGAGTAGCCCCTCCCCTTTAAATAAAAAAGAGCCAATAGCATTGTTTTATCCCAGCTCTGCCACCGAAAGAAGGAAATGAGACTATAGTGAAAATAAATGAAGCAAATGGCAAATAACATGCCCCGCCACTCTTGAAGAAGGTTGGGCATGTCAGATACAAGAGAGCATTTGATTGGTCAGAAGATTTGATGAGAAACTGAAATATGAGATGATGACAAAAAAACCATTGATGCATTTAGGTGGAAGTGACAAACTACAATGTTTGGACGTCACTGTTTTGAAGCACACTAGCTTATAACTAGAAAAGTTACGTTTGTAGACAAACTTTAAAGTGGCTTGAGAAAGTCGAGTCTGAAAGTTTGAAGTTATTTTAAAGTTTAAATAATTGAAGTAGTTTTTAAGAAGTTTGAAACAGCTGGCATAAACAGATAACTATATATATGCTAGCATGTTCTAGTATAAACTAGCATGTTTTTAACATGAATTTAGTATGAATTAGCATGTTGCAAGTGTGTTTATAGTATAAATAAGCATGTTTCTTGTATGGAGTAGCATGTTGCTAATACGATTAGTATGTTTGTGTTTTTAGTATTGATTGGTAAGTCGTTAGTGTGTTTTATTATGGATTAGCATGTTGCTAGTATGGATTGTTATGTTGTTAGTATGTCCAATGTAAAGTCAATGGCACTTTTTTACAATGGAAGTCTATGGGACAGTTGCTAGGGTGGCGTAAGTGGTTGCTACGGTGTGGCTAGTAAGTTGAAAGGCCATTAGAGATTGGCAGATTGGTAGTCTGAGTTAAATGAGCCCAACCTAAAGTCTGTATGACAGTGTGCCGCAAAGTTATGAGGTCACAAAATTTGGTACAATGTTAAGTCAATGGGACTTTTCCGAATTTTCTGGGTCAGTTTTCGGAAAACCATAAGTCGGATCAGTTGGGAAAGATATAGCAACTTAATTCAGTATAGTTTGGAGGATTGGAGTTAGTTTGGTGGTTATAGTATGAACGGTCAAGGAGGAGATGCGTTCTTAAAACAGTCTAAGAAGAAGAAGAAAGAAGAAGTTTATGTAGTGTAACACTATGGTGGCTTTCTCAAGCCACCATAACTAACCTTAAAACTTACATCTAAAAACTTTATTTTAATTTCACAAGACTATTAAAATACTATTCACAAGACTATTAAAATATTAACACAATATCAAAATGTTTTCAACTTCAATATCATTTTGCATGACTTTAATAGTCACTATGAGAACAACAATGAATAATTTACCTCTGGGACTCACAATGGTTCTTACTCTTTGTGTGGCTGTATAATGCTCTCTCTCTCTCTTATTTGATCGCTAGATGCCATTTTTATTTTGTAAAACCAGGACTACAAACTTTACATTTATATTTTTTATTATTTACTTGTTAATCACCCAGTCTTTCAAGTGATTATTTTGAAGCTAAACCTCGTAAAATCGATATTATCCTGACTTGTTACACAGCTGTCTGGAAAACTTGATTCTGATTGGTGTCACACTCACCTGGAAAGATGTCTCCAGCACACAGAGTGACACGGCTGTCGTATTCAACACAGAGCTTTACAGGTTTGTTAGGATCAGGAATCAAATTCAGTTTGATTATGGGCCCAGGAATGCCATTCCTGCTAAAAAAGCCCCGAAACTCCAGCTCATGTTCCCCTCTGTGGAAGAAAACGAGACAGAGATTGTAAAAGAGAGAGAAGTGTTTATTTACCGTGTGTTTAATTACTTTCTAAAGTATGCATTCTCTACCATGTAAAGCCTAAAATATAAGTTGTGTCTCATTTCAGAGGCTGCATCCTCCAAAGGATGGAGACTTCAAAGGCGAGTTTTTCGAAGTCCACACAGGCTGAACTGAGCATTTTGAAATGAGACGATCTAGCCTAGAGGATGGATCTTGCCACCAGGCAACCATAACAGCTGCTGTTAATAAGCAAAGATAAAAATTTGCAATTACTTTTTTTCAAAGTGATTTTAAAACTTATTGTAAGCGATCTGAAGACAAAAGAAGGTATACATAAGCTGGAAATATACTGCATTTGATCCATACATGTACACACAAACATGTAAACTCTCTAAATCACTCTTTAGTAAGACATGTCATACTCTTTTTGTTTTTTTAACATCTGTTAAGATATCCTGGTAAATTAATCCTAATTTCTAAATTTAAACCAGAGTTTTCTTTTAAAAACATCCTGCTGTTATCACCGCACAATGAATCTTGTGAATCTTGTGTGACATTCGAGACCGCGAAGGATCCACCGGTTGTGTCGGATGCACTTCGGATACAGCCTCTAAAATGAGACAGCTATAGTCCTTTATAGTAAAAAAAAAAAAAAAATATATATATATATATATATATATATATATATATATATATTTATATATATATTTACACACACACACATAGCACTTTTTACATAGCACTTTTAAATAGATTCATCATTTAAAAAGTGCAATACATTTTCAAAAATTATATTTATTTTTATACTATATTTTAGGCTCACTACCAAGTAAATAAATAAATAAATAAAACTGAAAAATTTTATTTAAAACAAAATGGATAAGTGCCTTTTAAAAATTCTATTTAATGACACATACAGTATGATACAGAGAGAATGTAATTTAAAAAAATGCATGTTTTATGGATGTTTATATGACACTCAAGCCCACCCACATAAAAAATACTATAGTAACTTACAGTAAAAATATAGTGTTTTTATCATACTATAGTCATTTTATTTCTAAAAACAAGACAATAAAAAAATCTATGAAGAGATTAACAAATGTCCCTTTCTTGGATGCCTAAGGATCATATTTGATTATATTTTACATCAAATTATGGATAATCAAGTAAACCCAGGTTGCTTCAATCTGTGATGACACTAACAAAATATATGTATATTATAAGGTAAAGTATGAACTTACTTTGGACCACTTATAGCTTCTAAAACGAAGCAAGCTTTTCCCTTTGAATCAACAGGCTGAGATGATACTGAGGACTTAATCTAAACAGAAAAAAAGAAAATTGCCGGCAATTAACATTTACATCACATAGTTATTGTATATCTAAATGGCACTTGAAGTTAACAATTGATGATTTAATATAATGCAATTTTATATTTCATGTTCATGCAATTGTTAAATCACAAGTTTCAGATATCAGAGATTTTCCAAATTGATTATTGATTTCTGTTTAAGATACCATATTTTACGGAAATATAAATCCTGAGCAATGTTCTGAAAATAGCCATATATATTTTATTTTTATTTATATACAACGAATATAAGTAAATTAACAAAATAATTGTACTAGTCATATTCAAAAAAACTAAATTGAATAAAAATGATTCATTAATTAAAAACAAACGATTTAATCCAAATACAATTAAAGTATTACAGTAAAAAGAATAGATGTAGAGTATAAAGTATAGATTTAAAATACATATATATATATTAATAAGTAAACAACAAATAATAATTCTAGTCATGTTCAGAAATAAGTAAAAAAAAAAGTAAATTAAATAATAATGTATTAATTAAATAAAATCAAATAAATATTTAATTCAAATACACCTAATTACATGAATTAATCAAACTAAAAATAATTAAACATTTAACAAAAGAAAAATTTCTAAATTTTTTAATTAAATAAAATATAAAGCTACATAATGTTCAGATTTATAAATAAAAATTAATAATCTACATAAATAAATAAATGAATGAATAAATAAATAAACCAAAAGCATGCTAGCTATATTTAGAAAATGGTCAAAAATGTCAACTAAATTATAATCGATTGTTTAACTAATTACAAAATTATATAATTAAAATATAAATAATTAATTAAATTAATTCATTATATAAACACAATTATATATATAAACACAAATAAAATAAACACAAATAAAATAGATAACAATAAAATAAAACTAATAAAAAAGGATTAGATAAAACTAATTAAAAAACATTTAAAATGAAATAAAATAGAAAAGAATAAAATAAAATAAAATGAAATAAAATAAAAAAATTAAAATATTTCCGCCATTATGCATTTCCTCAGACCTACCTTCAACTGTGAGGTGCGAGTCTTCAACACAATGTTAACCCGCTGGTCTGGTGAAGCATTTCCCCATTGGTCACAGAGCTGCATGGTCAGTGGAGTCTCCAAACCATGACCATTCATGACCTGCAAAGGCTGAATTACAGAGAGCAACTTTAATACAAACACTTAAATCCAAATACTCTTCCTCCTTGTGATGGTCTGCATGTGTGTGATTTACCATCTCCAGCTCCTCCAGCAGTTTTATCTGTGCTGGAGCTCCTGCAGTCACATCAACTCGCACAAACTCCTTCATGCGCTGGAGCTGGAAACTCAGCTCTCGTGAGCCTGGGGATCCGGATACAAAACGGATGCCACTAACACAAAAATGTCCAGCTCTCGCCTGCAGAAAAGCACACTATTTAATCCACAAGCTGGAAAGAAATAGACATTCATCTTAGCATGTACTATTTGGTACATACATAATAGTGTGTGCACACAAAGCAAAAGCGAAAGTGCTCACTTTTGGACATGCTCAGTAAAAAGGTAAAGCAGAATAAATAATAGAAATTAAATAAAAAAATATATAAATACAATACAGCTAAACAAAATAAAGAAAGAAAGAAATAAAATGTACTAAAAAAATTTAATTCCGGTCAGGTTCAGAAATATATATATATATATAAAAAAAAAAAAACTTTTGTTGTTTTTTTTGACCACACATTCCTGAAAATGAAAATGTGTCCGCGACCCACTTTTGGTCTTTAACCACCAGTTGAGAAACACTGCTCTATAGAGCTCTACCTATACTGTTAGCAAGATGTTTACATATAATTTACATAAAATATTATTCAAGCTCATTTCTATAGCACCTTTCATAATTCTTGTTTTAAAAAGCTTTGTTATTACAATACAACCACTATGAGAAAAAAGTGCGTACAGTAAACCTGTCAAGCGTATACACAGATAATCTGCACAATTATACAATATAATGTACTTTTTCAAAAGTATGCATGTGTAAAATATATTTTCAGGCAGGTTATCTGATTTTATTAACCTAATGTGTGTATTGATCAAGGGTTTGTGCTGTTCTTGCAGGGTTAGAAAATATTTGAAGTATTTTTTAATCTTATTTTTCATGTTTTAGTACATTTTATCAATAAAAAGGCATTTAGAGTAGCTGTTTAATGTACTGATACTTTTAGAGACTGCTAAAATATGTGTGGATGTATTTAGCATATATTATGAGCATGCTATTGCTGAAAATAACCAAGCAGGGTTTTCATTTATTTATTTTTATGCAGGGAAAGTATTTGTATATAACTTGAATTTGTATGTGTGTGTGTTTGTTAACAGAAGCACACAGTGAAGGTGCGCATCCCGGGGCTGAAGCAGGACATTGATTCTTTTCAACTCGCTCTGGAACCTGGTATGAAAAACAAAACAAACGTGTTACAATAAGAGGGATTGTTAAGCAGAATATCAAAAGTCTAATATTTATGTTGCAGGTCCTCCACACACTCTGGTGGTGTTTCCAGATGGAGATGTGCTCTCTGTTGAGAACGGGACGCCGGTCAACTTTAAAGTGGAGGTTCATGATGAGTGCCAGAATATCACCGCTCATCCTAAACTCGCCGTCCGCTGCCAGGTGACGCTCACAGACAAACACACTTTTAAGAGTTATTCAGTTTTTTTACACAGCTCTCTGGAATGCTTTGTTCTGATTGGTCAATGCCAACATAACAAGGTATGTTATTCCCAGATGACAACCGATTACACCAATAATATTGACTTATTGAGCTAGTATCAGTCACCTTGACCATTAGGGAATAATATGTTAATTGACTCAATAAAGGTGGTCGCACATGATGATTTGATGATGATATGTTGTGTAATATATGTGGTTTGATGTGTGTTTGCAGATGATGGGAGCTCCTGATCTGCCGGTGGACATTGTGGACTGCAGTAACACCGGCTCTGGACTCATGCTGACTAAACCACTGTCTCTGAAGACTGTAAATGCTGAACAGATCTTTACCGTAAAATTCAACATCCCTGTAAGATATACATACATCATTTACTCTATTTTAGACCATTTTGATCATATCTCTGAATTCTGTGCATTTAATATGTTAATTCAACAACATTTTAAAAAGAAAATTTCTAGGGATGCATCTCTGTAATTTTATTTCAAGGTCAAGTACTGTTTCAGTTAAAGCTTAAAGTCTAAATAAATTTCTATAGCACACTATAAAGCAACAGACATGCTGTACAAGAACAACACAATACAATAAAACATTCAAAGAAACTTACAACATATGAGAAAAGAAAAAAGAATGTAAAATAAATACAATGCAATGCAATTATAACTGACCTTAATCAAAAGCTGGGGAAAACAAATATCATTTGTAATAAATAAGTAATAAATAAGTAATAAATTTCAAATAGGTCTTTGCTGGCTTTTTTTTTCTTATTTAGCTAGTGTTAATGTGTTTTTTTTAATTATATAGTTATATTATTATTATTATTATATATAGTTAATATAGTTATATTATGAATAAAGAGTTATATTTAAAGCATTTAATAACTTAAAACTTTTAACGTTTTATTTAAATATTTAGTTCATATAAACATAGAATACATTTACATTTATTTCAATAAAAACATAACCATTTTTGTAATTTTTAAATATTGTGTAAATTAATATAAATAATTAAAGGTCAATTTTAATTAATAAAAACAGAATAGTAATTGAACAATATTCAAATATAAATGATCTATTTTGACCTATTTTCTTAATAGCTTATTGATATTATGAATTATTATTATTATGGTTATTATTAATAATAATTCATCGTCATTTGCTTCATTTTTTTTAAATATAAAAATTAAATTTATTAATAATATAAAATAATAATTTTTTATGCTCTAAATCAGAGATGCCCAAAGTAGGGCCAGTAGGCCAAAGTTTGGCCATGGGAACCTTTGATTTGGCCCACCGTCCCAACTGAAAAAAAGAGGGGGGATAATGGGAAGGTGCTTGAAGCGAATACCTTTGACAGAGATTGTGATTTCAAATATAACGTAACCTTTTCTTTCAAAAACTCTACAAAACAAGCCAACTAAAATTAAATGTTTCAATTAAATGTTGGACTTTTAAATCTATATTTCACTTGACAGATAGAGAACAAAGCACAAGACATCGGTGAGCAAATCAAGGCAAAGACAGGAGCAGCTCAACTAGTGATATCGGCATTGAACTCCATTGTGCTATAAATGGGATTGTTTATGTTTTCTAGTTATTTTTTATATATTAGCAAATAAATTAGGAAATTACCCATGGCAAACCTAATGTAATACACTTTGGTGTGTGTATACACAGGTTTGGTATATACTTGGCCCACAGCCCTCAATCAAGGTTGTTTACCAGTTGCACCCCTGCTCTAAATTCTATAAAAATATATAAATTAAAGAATATAAATTAAAAATATATAAATAAATAATTATAATAATATATAATTTTAATCATTCATTCATTTATTTTCTTTTCGGCGTAGTCTCTTTATTAATCCGAAGTCGCCACAGCGGAATGAACCACCAACTTATCTAGCACGTTTTAACGCAGTGGATGCCCTTCCAGCCGCAACCCATCTCTGGGAAACATCCACACACTCATTCACACAGACACAGATACACTACCGACAATTTAGCCTACCCAATTTACTTGTACCTCATGTCTTTGGACTGTAAAGGAAACGGGAGTTTTAATATATGTTATTATTTATGTAATTATATTTTTATAGAATTTTCATCCTTATAATAATAATAATAAATAATATTAAATAATAAATAATGCTCCAAGTAGTTTTAATGTATTATTTAAAGTGCATGAATTGATATTTAATGTGATCATTAAAATTGTTGTTTTGTACGTGCGTGCGTGTGTTTTATGTTTGTTTAATTGTTTTTTTTCTTTTGCACGCAGAACCACAGGACAGTGTCGAGTGTGGAGCGTCAGCTGCGTGTTTTGCCCAGCACTCGGATATCCCGTATAGAGGTGTACAGACAGGAAGAGGGCTCCGATGATGTCATGGTGCTGCAGAATTCCGAGCGCATTGATTGGACGGCAGGAGACACACTGGGAAACCTGTACTTCAGACTGTATGACGAGGGCAACAGACTGGTGTCCCTCCAGCCAAAAATAACCAGCAAAATTAAGGTACCAGTTTGATTGTGCTTTATTTGTATAGTTTTTTCATGCATATTCTGTCATTAAGGTTATGTCTGTACCTGCCAACATTTATATAAGAATAATATTCATTTATTTTATGTGTACTGAATTATATATGTTGTATATAGCATTTAAAATGTATATTATTTCTACAGTTTTTATTATTTGACTGGTTTTTAATATTTATCATGTGCAGTTTGTAAATGTGCCTAGATGCATCTTAATCTGTGTGTTTGTTTAAAGGTGAACTGGACGGCAAAGCTAAACGCAGAAGATCTGGCTCAGGGGAAGCTGCCGTGTTTGGGTGTCCCGACTCAAGCTCAGAGAGAGCATTTCTACCACGTGTCATTCCAGGACCAGCACGCCGTCAACATGTCCTTCATCATTGTGTGAGTGACACATCCTTTTTCATGAGCATACATCTGAACATCCCTGTAACTGTGTGTGTGTTTTTGTGTAAAGGCCACGTCCAGACGAGCCTGAGCGTTTGCGGGTCAGACTCGGCGAATCTACTGTCAAGATGGGTGAAGTTCTGTCAGGCAGCACATGTAAGTCAGATCAGGCGGTCGTTATACTTTTAAAGTCCACATGAAATCAAAACTAAATATATTGATTTTGCAAGCTCACAGTGCTAGTTTTGTGCTGATAAATGAATCTGCGCATGACATAAAGAAAAAAAAGTTTGGCCTTATAATCATAAATCAAAGTCTGCACTTCCTGTTTGTCTTCAGTTAAATTCTCTAATTATGTTGGTCTGAGGTTTTGGGCGTGGCTAACATACTTGAAACGCCTACTTTAATACATCCAATCAGCTCGCAGTAAAAAAAAGCCACACCCACTGTTTCCTTATTTAATATTTGGTTTTCCTCAGAGCTGCGTCACAATACGAACTGAGAAATCTAAATTCTTCGATGCTTTTGTCATTGGAAAGCATTTTAGAGCAGTAATCAGAATATCCTGATACTGTGAATCCTTGATATTTTTATCCAAGGTTATCATACTGTCAGAATCTGATACCGGCCCATGTGTAATGCTAATAAAATTGACCTTAAAATTGCTTTTAAACAATTCTAAGCTGCTCATAAATAAAACTGCTTTTATCCTAGCAGAACTAAAAGAAACTTTCTCCAGAAGAAAAAAATATAATAGGAAATACTGTAAAAAATGTCTTTGCTCTCTTTTAAAGATCACTTGGGAAATTTGGGCAAAAAGAGTTCAAGTTTGACTTTATGATTTTACGTTTATGCTGTACTGACGTATGACTGGCCAGTGATGATCATGTGTTTTTCTCTCTCAGATGTGGAAGTGATGGATCAGTATGGGAATAAAACAGACCGTCTGGATGCAGAAAGTGTGAACTCTTTAAGTGTTTCTGCTGACGGTCTGGATAACGAGGCTCTGGCTGTAGAATGGCAGGTAAACGCGTGCAAAAATGTGGTATTTACTACAATAACATCATAACTGAACAAGTCATTAGAGTCAGTGATTCAGTGATCGATCCATTCAGATAGATAGCAACCTGCTTTATTTCTAAAAGAATGAGTTATTTTTAGGGGACTTCAGTGTTTAAAAAAGTCTTAATAATATAGTAAATATTGCACTGCACTGACACAGATATTGTTATACTGAATTATTACTAACAATTACAATAAAGCCAAAATGTTTTGGGTCAAAAGAATAATTGTCATTTGTATGAACACCTGACGTAAAGTTGACTCCCGTCAAGTGGTGATATAGGGAATGTTTTTTAGCAAATAAAGATTAGTTGTAGAATTTCTTTATTCAGTATAACTCTATTATTATTAAATGCACTGTAGATAATTGTTTATTAATTATAAATATGTTGGGTTGTATTTTAAGAAAAATTGCTAATGTTTTTATCATTTGTTTAATTTTCGATCCTTTGAATTTAGCCTTAAATCGAGTAAATAAATCGACAGTAAATAGTTTTTCATAAAAAAAAATTATAAAGTTCAATATTGTGCTTTTTTTGTTAAACCTAATAACATATAAAATGCAGATAAAAAGTAAATAGTTTTTATAATGTCTTAAAAGTGAAAAATTTTATTGTTGGAATTAATTGGGCATGTTTTGGAATTTATTAAAATTTAACTCAACCAATAAAATTAGATGCAAAACAAATAGAATTAAAAAAATGTAGTTAAATTTATATATTATTTAAATATTATTTTACTGTTTTCTAAACATCACCCGCATAATTAAAAAAAAAAATTAATTACATTTTTGTTTATATATATATATATATATATATATATATATATATATAAACAAAAATGTAATTAATTTTTTTTTTTAATTATGCGGGTGATGTTTAGAAAACAGTAAAATAATATTTAAATAATATATAAATTTAACTACATTTTTTTAATTCTATTTGTTTTGCATCTAATTTTATTGGTTGAGTTAAATTTTAATAAATTCCAAAACATGCCCAATTAATTCCAACAATAAAATTTTTCACTTTTAAGACATTATAAAAACTATTTACTTTTTATCTGCATTTTATATGTTATTAGGTTTAACAAAAAAAGCACAATATTGAACTTTATAATTTTTTTTTATGAAAAACTATTTACTGTCGATTTATTTACTCGATTTAAGGCTAAATTCAAAGGATCGAAAATTAAACAAATGATAAAAACATTAGCAATTTTTCTTAAAATACAACCCAACATATTTATAATTAATAAACAATTATCTACAGTGCATTTAATAATAATAGAGTTATACTGAATAAAGAAATTCTACAACTAATCTTTATTTGCTAAAAAACATTCCCTATATCACCACTTGACGGGAGTCAACTTTACGTCAGGTGTTCATACAAATGACAATTATTCTTTTGACCCAAAACATTTTGGCTTTATTGTAATTGTTAGTAATAATTCAGTATAACAATATCTGTGTCAGTGCAGTGCAATATTTACTATATTATTAAGACTTTTTTAAACACTGAAGTCCCCTAAAAATAACTCATTCTTTTAGAAATAAAGCAGGTTGCTATCTATCTGAATGGATCGATCACTGAATCACTGACTCTAATGACTTGTTCAGTTATGATGTTATTGTAGTAAATACCACATTTTTGCACGCGTTTACCTGCCATTCTACAGCCAGAGCCTCGTTATCCAGACCGTCAGCAGAAACACTTAAAGAGTTCACACTTTCTGCATCCAGACGGTCTGTTTTATTCCCATACTGATCCATCACTTCCACATCTGAGAGAGAAAAACACATGATCATCACTGGCCAGTCATACGTCAGTACAGCATAAACGTAAAATCATAAAGTCAAACTTGAACTCTTTTTGCCCAAATTTCCCAAGTGATCTTTAAAAGAGAGCAAAGACATTTTTTACAGTATTTCCTATTATATTTTTTTCTTCTGGAGAAAGTTTCTTTTAGTTCTGCTAGGATAAAAGCAGTTTTATTTATGAGCAGCTTAGAATTGTTTAAAAGCAATTTTAAGGTCAATTTTATTAGCATTACACATGGGCCGGTATCAGATTCTGACAGTATGATAACCTTGGATAAAAATATCAAGGATTCACAGTATCAGGATATTCTGATTACTGCTCTAAAATGCTTTCCAATGACAAAAGCATCGAAGAATTTAGATTTCTCAGTTCGTATTGTGACGCAGCTCTGAGGAAAACCAAATATTAAATAAGGAAACAGTGGGTGTGGCTTTTTTTTACTGCGAGCTGATTGGATGTATTAAAGTAGGCGTTTCAAGTATGTTAGCCACGCCCAAAACCTCAGACCAACATAATTAGAGAATTTAACTGAAGACAAACAGGAAGTGCAGACTTTGATTTATGATTATAAGGCCAAACTTTTTTTTCTTTATGTCATGCGCAGATTCATTTATCAGCACAAAACTAGCACTGTGAGCTTGCAAAATCAATATATTTAGTTTTGATTTCATGTGGACTTTAAAAGTATAACGACCGCCTGATCTGACTTACATGTGCTGCCTGACAGAACTTCACCCATCTTGACAGTAGATTCGCCGAGTCTGACCCGCAAACGCTCAGGCTCGTCTGGACGTGGCCTTTACACAAAAACACACACACAGTTACAGGGATGTTCAGATGTATGCTCATGAAAAAGGATGTGTCACTCACACAATGATGAAGGACATGTTGACGGCGTGCTGGTCCTGGAATGACACGTGGTAGAAATGCTCTCTCTGAGCTTGAGTCGGGACACCCAAACACGGCAGCTTCCCCTGAGCCAGATCTTCTGCGTTTAGCTTTGCCGTCCAGTTCACCTTTAAACAAACACACAGATTAAGATGCATCTAGGCACATTTACAAACTGCACATGATAAATATTAAAAACCAGTCAAATAATAAAAACTGTAGAAATAATATACATTTTAAATGCTATATACAACATATATAATTCAGTACACATAAAATAAATGAATATTATTCTTATATAAATGTTGGCAGGTACAGACATAACCTTAATGACAGAATATGCATGAAAAAACTATACAAATAAAGCACAATCAAACTGGTACCTTAATTTTGCTGGTTATTTTTGGCTGGAGGGACACCAGTCTGTTGCCCTCGTCATACAGTCTGAAGTACAGGTTTCCCAGTGTGTCTCCTGCCGTCCAATCAATGCGCTCGGAATTCTGCAGCACCATGACATCATCGGAGCCCTCTTCCTGTCTGTACACCTCTATACGGGATATCCGAGTGCTGGGCAAAACACGCAGCTGACGCTCCACACTCGACACTGTCCTGTGGTTCTGCGTGCAAAAGAAAAAAAACAATTAAACAAACATAAAACACACGCACGCACGTACAAAACAACAATTTTAATGATCACATTAAATATCAATTCATGCACTTTAAATAATACATTAAAACTACTTGGAGCATTATTTATTATTTAATATTATTTATTATTATTATTATAAGGATGAAAATTCTATAAAAATATAATTACATAAATAATAACATATATTAAAACTCCCGTTTCCTTTACAGTCCAAAGACATGAGGTACAAGTAAATTGGGTAGGCTAAATTGTCGGTAGTGTATCTGTGTCTGTGTGAATGAGTGTGTGGATGTTTCCCAGAGATGGGTTGCGGCTGGAAGGGCATCCACTGCGTTAAAACGTGCTAGATAAGTTGGTGGTTCATTCCGCTGTGGCGACTTCGGATTAATAAAGAGACTACGCCGAAAAGAAAATAAATGAATGAATGATTAAAATTATATATTATTATAATTATTTATTTATATATTTTTAATTTATATTCTTTAATTTATATATTTTTATAGAATTTAGAGCAGGGGTGCAACTGGTAAACAACCTTGATTGAGGGCTGTGGGCCAAGTATATACCAAACCTGTGTATACACACACCAAAGTGTATTACATTAGGTTTGCCATGGGTAATTTCCTAATTTATTTGCTAATATATAAAAAATAACTAGAAAACATAAACAATCCCATTTATAGCACAATGGAGTTCAATGCCGATATCACTAGTTGAGCTGCTCCTGTCTTTGCCTTGATTTGCTCACCGATGTCTTGTGCTTTGTTCTCTATCTGTCAAGTGAAATATAGATTTAAAAGTCCAACATTTAATTGAAACATTTAATTTTAGTTGGCTTGTTTTGTAGAGTTTTTGAAAGAAAAGGTTACGTTATATTTGAAATCACAATCTCTGTCAAAGGTATTCGCTTCAAGCACCTTCCCATTATCCCCCCTCTTTTTTTCAGTTGGGACGGTGGGCCAAATCAAAGGTTCCCATGGCCAAACTTTGGCCTACTGGCCCTACTTTGGGCATCTCTGATTTAGAGCATAAAAAATTATTATTTTATATTATTAATAAATTTAATTTTTATATTTAAAAAAAATGAAGCAAATGACGATGAATTATTATTAATAATAACCATAATAATAATAATTCATAATATCAATAAGCTATTAAGAAAATAGGTCAAAATAGATCATTTATATTTGAATATTGTTCAATTACTATTCTGTTTTTATTAATTAAAATTGACCTTTAATTATTTATATTAATTTACACAATATTTAAAAATTACAAAAATGGTTATGTTTTTATTGAAATAAATGTAAATGTATTCTATGTTTATATGAACTAAATATTTAAATAAAACGTTAAAAGTTTTAAGTTATTAAATGCTTTAAATATAACTCTTTATTCATAATATAACTATATTAACTATATATAATAATAATAATAATATAACTATATAATTAAAAAAAACACATTAACACTAGCTAAATAAGAAAAAAAAAGCCAGCAAAGACCTATTTGAAATTTATTACTTATTTATTACTTATTTATTACAAATGATATTTGTTTTCCCCAGCTTTTGATTAAGGTCAGTTATAATTGCATTGCATTGTATTTATTTTACATTCTTTTTTCTTTTCTCATATGTTGTAAGTTTCTTTGAATGTTTTATTGTATTGTGTTGTTCTTGTACAGCATGTCTGTTGCTTTATAGTGTGCTATAGAAATTTATTTAGACTTTAAGCTTTAACTGAAACAGTACTTGACCTTGAAATAAAATTACAGAGATGCATCCCTAGAAATTTTCTTTTTAAAATGTTGTTGAATTAACATATTAAATGCACAGAATTCAGAGATATGATCAAAATGGTCTAAAATAGAGTAAATGATGTATGTATATCTTACAGGGATGTTGAATTTTACGGTAAAGATCTGTTCAGCATTTACAGTCTTCAGAGACAGTGGTTTAGTCAGCATGAGTCCAGAGCCGGTGTTACTGCAGTCCACAATGTCCACCGGCAGATCAGGAGCTCCCATCATCTGCAAACACACATCAAACCACATATATTACACAACATATCATCATCAAATCATCATGTGCGACCACCTTTATTGAGTCAATTAACATATTATTCCCTAATGGTCAAGGTGACTGATACTAGCTCAATAAGTCAATATTATTGGTGTAATCGGTTGTCATCTGGGAATAACATACCTTGTTATGTTGGCATTGACCAATCAGAACAAAGCATTCCAGAGAGCTGTGTAAAAAAACTGAATAACTCTTAAAAGTGTGTTTGTCTGTGAGCGTCACCTGGCAGCGGACGGCGAGTTTAGGATGAGCGGTGATATTCTGGCACTCATCATGAACCTCCACTTTAAAGTTGACCGGCGTCCCGTTCTCAACAGAGAGCACATCTCCATCTGGAAACACCACCAGAGTGTGTGGAGGACCTGCAACATAAATATTAGACTTTTGATATTCTGCTTAACAATCCCTCTTATTGTAACACGTTTGTTTTGTTTTTCATACCAGGTTCCAGAGCGAGTTGAAAAGAATCAATGTCCTGCTTCAGCCCCGGGATGCGCACCTTCACTGTGTGCTTCTGTTAACAAACACACACACATACAAATTCAAGTTATATACAAATACTTTCCCTGCATAAAAATAAATAAATGAAAACCCTGCTTGGTTATTTTCAGCAATAGCATGCTCATAATATATGCTAAATACATCCACACATATTTTAGCAGTCTCTAAAAGTATCAGTACATTAAACAGCTACTCTAAATGCCTTTTTATTGATAAAATGTACTAAAACATGAAAAATAAGATTAAAAAATACTTCAAATATTTTCTAACCCTGCAAGAACAGCACAAACCCTTGATCAATACACACATTAGGTTAATAAAATCAGATAACCTGCCTGAAAATATATTTTACACATGCATACTTTTGAAAAAGTACATTATATTGTATAATTGTGCAGATTATCTGTGTATACGCTTGACAGGTTTACTGTACGCACTTTTTTCTCATAGTGGTTGTATTGTAATAACAAAGCTTTTTAAAACAAGAATTATGAAAGGTGCTATAGAAATGAGCTTGAATAATATTTTATGTAAATTATATGTAAACATCTTGCTAACAGTATAGGTAGAGCTCTATAGAGCAGTGTTTCTCAACTGGTGGTTAAAGACCAAAAGTGGGTCGCGGACACATTTTCATTTTCAGGAATGTGTGGTCAAAAAAAACAACAAAAGTTTTTTTTTTTTTTACTTATTTTGCATATACCGGACTTTTATTTTGAAAATTAGTTGCGCGTCAACCCTACCGTATGACATGTGAAATTTCATTTATAGCAACAAATACGTCGACGTGCAAGTACAACCCCGAATATGTAAAGTATGGATTTACATACTGTATATTGACGACAAAAAAGACTTATTTGTTTTATTTCGGCTAGAATAAAAGCAGTTTTAAATTTTGTAAACACCATTTTAGGGACAATATTATTAGACTCTGTAAGCTAATTTTTTTTTCACGATAATCTACAGAGCAAACCATCATTATACAATAACTTGTCTAATTACCCTAACCTGCCTAGTTAACCTAATTAACCTAGTTAAGCCTTTAAATGTCACTTTAAGCTGTATAGAAGTGTCTTGAAGAATATCTAGTCTAATATTATTTACTGTCATCATGACAAAGATAAATAAATCAGTTATTAGAAATGAGTTGTTAAAACTATTATGTTTAGAAATGTGTAGAAAAAAATGTCTCCGTTAAATAGAAATTGGGGAAAAAATAAACAAGCAGTCTATAATTCAGGGGGGCTAATAATTCTAAATTCAACTGTATATATACAGTTCACTTAGAGACACTCATTGCTGAGTCTTGTTATCTGTTCTAGTGACATTACAACACGTTTTCCTGTTGTTTTGAATCTTTGCTTAGTTTTGTTTGATTATTCCTGTATGCCGCCTGCCTTCTGACTATTTGCCTGCTACTTCGATTATAACTTTGGATTGCCCACATACATCTGTTTGCTCCTGTTTTGATCACTGCTTGCCTGACCATCCTGTCAGTAAAGCCCTGCATTTATCTCCTCACCCCTGTTGTCAGTGTCACTTCCCCCAGGTTACATAACTATTCATTTATGTTGTGTTTTATTTTCATTTGTTTGAATTAATTTATTATTCATTTAATTATTTTATTTGATCATATGATCAGTCATTTATATACTATATATTATTAGTTAATGATTTGATTATTATTTGTCATTTGATTAGGTTTACCATTTTATTATCACTAATTATTGCTTTGTTATTTGCTTTTTTCAATATTGGTAATCTTATGACTGTGTGGATTCAAGCGACACCTGTTTTCAAGAGTAAGAGATGAGAGAATGTCTCCATTTCAAGGTCTGTATTGTCTCTAGACAATGTTGTGAAGCAGTAATCTTCCATTGCTGTTGCTTGTGGTATAATAACACTTGCTGGATTTGTCCTGGCATTGAAACATACGCAACTAACAATATTCAATAAACTCTGCTCTTTTTTTTTCATCATTACTTCGTCTCCTGCTTCTGCTCCTCTCTTGCCTTCTCAGTCAACTCCTATATTCATATGAGACTATCAATTCAGTTAAACGCTGGTGTTGGGCGAATCTGCTGGCTTGTTAGAGAGTGTGATCTAACAATCACAACAAACTCACAATCATGAGAGAATACACAACTCTTATGGTGATAAAATAATCAAATAATGCGTCTTGCATACTTTTTAAGACTGCTGAAATCTTCTAACCATTTACCTGCATAGTCATTATTTTTCCTTTGGTTACAGGTTTTCAGTTTTCTTTAAAATATATACTCTTAAGTGTTTAGTGTAGAAAGAAACTCGAAATAAATGTTTAAAAACACTTGAGGATGAGTAAATAGCCAGTAAATGTTCATTTTTGGGTGAACTGCCCCTTTAAGTTGACAAGTTCTTACACTCACATTGAACACATTGACTCCTTAACAAACACCGAAACTAAAACCATTTTTGTTATATGCAATAAAATAATTTCATAGCTACACAACAATCAAAACAAACTCACAATCAAGCGAGAGCACACCGCTCTTGCTAAGATTTTGCTAACCTTGCCTTGCTGTTTGATCTTTCCCAAGGCTCTCACATTGTTGATGACTGCAGTCGTCCCAAACGCGATCCCATCATAACTCAACTTCAGTGAACTAAAGACAAAGAGACATTATTCCATCAGAAAACACAACGTAATGCTTTGTATTTAGAAGAAGTCTGCATTTTGGTACTGGAAGATAAAGTAATTTCAGAATATTCTACTGCAGTGTTTCTCAACTGGTGGGTCGCGACCCAAAAGTGGGTCACAGGAACATTATCAGTGGGTCGCGGGGTGTGTGGTCAAAAAAAAACAACAAAAGTAAAAATGTTTTACTTATTTTGCTTAAAACTGACTTTTATTTTGAAATGCGTGCGCGACAAACCTACTGCTTGACATGTGAAATTTCTTTTAATTATTGTAACAAATATGTCGAAGCGCAAGTACGACCCCGAATAAGTATGTATGTATGTATGTATGTATGTATGTATATATATATATATATATATATAGACGATAAAAAAAAGACTTAAAGCCTTAGTATCATATGTGAGGTGCTCTCAAAAGAGAGTATGAAACCTTCTTAATTAAAACAACATTTAGAAACCAGAAACATGTTTTATTAACATTTTATTATTAACAGTATTTGTCATTTTTACTCTGTAATATTTCTATAATTTGATCCATTTTGTTAAATGACAGCAATAAAATAGTGTTTATTTGTAAGTCTTGGTGACTTTCTTATGATGTATCGGTCACTACTTGTTTATGTTAACAAATAAATACAAATTAAGTATAACTCCTAAAACTGTATTATAGTTCCTAAAAACTTGGGTCACGGCTTGATGACCATGTAAAAATGTGGGTCCCATGGCTAAACCAGTTGAGAACCCCTGTTCTACTGTTTATTAAATTTCACCCCAGCCTCTGATTCTCACATGACAGCAGAACAAAGAGACTTCAGATCATCACATGAGCAGAAAGTTTCTCTTAAAGAAGTGGGAGGTTCTTGCTCTCTAAAATAAGACTTTAGACAAGGCAAATCTTTTTACTGTATACACACATTTCATTCACAATGGCAAGTAAAAATGCTTTACGTAAACCAAAAAATAAAAAAGAATGTAAAATACTACAACTATAAGAGATAAAAACAACTAAGAATAAAAAACTGATTAAAAGGAAATTAATAGAGAGAGAGAGAATTGGTGGGATCTGTCAATTTTCTGACATCTTTTCTCAATCTGCATTATTGATATGCGATACATCTGTGTAAAGACAGATAATTAGAGCAATAAATTAGATGCATTAGTCTGTACTAGTCTTATATACTCATTCATTCATTTATTTTATTTTTGGCTTAGTCCCTTTATTAATCTGGGGTCGCCACAGCCGAATGAACCACCACTATATCCAACATGTGTTTTACACAGCGGATGCCCTTCCAGCTGCAACCCATCACTGGGAAACATACACACAGTCATTCACACATACACTACGGACAATTTAGCCAACTCTATTCACCTGTACCACATGTCTTTGGACTTGTCAGGGAAACTGGAGCACTCGGAGGAAACCCAAGCTAACACAGGGAGAACATGCAAACTCCACAAAGAAATGCCAACTCGAACCAGCGACCTTCTTGCTGTGAGGCGAACGTGCTACCCACTGTGCTACCGTGCAGCCCAATCTTAAATACCTTTATGGAAATGTAATTCCTTTGCATTTGTTCACCAAATGTCTATATGAGTTAAGGCTGATTTATACTTCTGCATTAAATAAACGCGTATGCTACGGAGTTGACGCATAGCCCTACCGTGGCCGTCGGCATTGTTGATGTGCACCTCTCAGAAAAATGTAACTACACGTCGCAACAATGCATAGCGCAAGCTCTGTGATTGGTCGGCTTGGTAGCGCTGACGTGTCTGGGCGGGACCGAGAGCCACGCGAATGGCGCCAGCCCGATGGAGCAATTGTTTACAAGTGTGGAGTCCCGTGAAGGAGCTCCGGATGGTAAGTTTTGTTTTGTGTTTACCTCATAGTTAAAGTTGTTGCATGTCCGCCGAATCCTGCCTCAAAATTAGCGAGTTTGAGCCACTTTTACATTCAGGAAGTGTTCAGGAAAAGCAAAACAGCAGCGAAAAAACTCGACACAGAGACACATTAACTCCTCACTGCCAACTAGGGTTTCGGAAGTGTTAATGTAGACCAACAGAGACAGCGCGCAGAAGTATAAATGCACAGCTACGCATGTAGCATGCGCCGTGGGTTACGCCGGGCACTTGACGCAGAAGTATAAACCAGGCTTAAAACTGAGCTGCTTTTTGTTCTGTATGTTCACTATAAATCAGACAGGCCATTAAAAGTCTAATGTATCAGGAAGTCTTAAAATTAAATTAAATATAATAAAATAAAATAAAATAAAAATTAAATTAAATTAAATTAAATTAAATTAAATTAAATTAAATTAAATTAAATATCAAAAATTAAAAGAAATTTAATTTTATAAAAAAATTAAATAACACATTAAATAAAAAAATATTTAATTTAATTTAAAAAACAGAAATAACAAAAAAAAAAGATTTAAACATTAAAAATGTTAAAACAGATTTATATGGAACTTAAAAGAAAAAACACAAATAGCGAAATCTGACAATTTTATAGCATCGTTCTCAAAATTTGAGGCAAAGTTTGCGATATCTCTCTCTCTAAAGAATTGGAGCAGTAAATAATATTCTAGTCTGTACTAGTCTTATATACTCTATGATGGAAATATAATTTCTTTGCAATTGTTCATAACATTTCTATACAATTAAAACTTGTAGCCTTTGTTTTGTATTTTCACTATAAATCAGACATGCCATTTAAAGTCTGATGTACGAGGAAGAACATATATAATTAACAAAAATGAAAAGTAACCACTTTACATTTTCGGCAGAAAAGTACACCCAACACTGATCAGTAGTTAAAGTGTGTTTGTGCTTTATATCTACAGAACTGGTGTGTGAGTTACCTGCACTCCAGCTGGGGTTTAATGCCACTGGGAGGCTGAGTGGAATACTCAAACTGATCCCGGAAATCCAGAGGGACGCTGAAGGGAACTCCAACAAGGACAGGAGAGGAAACCTGACCGATTTTAAAAGATTCCGCTTTACCCTCTGTTGGAGAAACACACAAAGAGAGCATTTAACACATTTAACACACTACCTGACCGGAGATTATTCATTTCAGTACAAGTCAAGTGGAAATATCTCGGTCTCTCTACTGAAACCAAAACAGAAGTGACTAAAACTGCAATTCATCGACTGGCCACTAGAGGCTGGCTCCAAAAGAGTGTCAATCCCACATCATTCCAGTATTAAAATGCCCAGATTTACAGCAATAATTTTTTACAGCCTAGTACTAATAGTGTGATGTGACAGCATGATAAACAGGGCAACAGAATGATCCATTTATGAGAAACTGGAATGTCCCAAGCTTGAAAACCTAAAAGTACATTTTACATTTGTACATTTTCCACACATAGACTCCATACTTTTAGGATGTGTGTGATGCAGGAAGGGTGTTTTACCTTTAATAGAAAAGTTGAGGGTGTAGTTGGGTAATTTTTTTCCAACCCAATGGCTTTCTGAACTGTCGCTCAGCTTGGTCTGCAGATGCAGTGTGTATTTTCCAATCTTAGTGAGATTCTCTGCAAGTCAAAACACTCACTTGTGTACTATAAGACAAAACTAAGCAGGCAAAATTAGCAGTTCATTAATAAAATGATTATGAATTTGATAATGTATGGGTTTTTACCCATGGTCTTGAACCAGTACTCCCACTTGGTTGAATGAACAGCAATGTGAGAGTTAGTTTGTACATCTTTCTTAGTTTGGTCATCTTTCTTAGGCGCTGAAGGAAGAAAACAACAACAGTGAAAGAAAACAATAAACTGCTAATACTGTTCAAATATTGTATAGCATAGGGCGGAGCTATCAGTCCTTAAGGGAAAGGGTTATCAGACCTTTAGGGGAGGGGCTATCAGTCCTTCAAGGAGAGGCTATCAGTCCTTTAGGAAAAGGTTATTAGTCCTTTAGAGGAGGGACTATCTGTCCTTCAGGTAGGGGCTATCAGTCCTTTAGGAAAGGGTTATCATTCCTTTAAGGGAGAGGCTATTTGACCTTTAGGGAAGGGGCTATCAGATTTTTAGGGAAAGGGTTATCAGACCTTTAGGGGAGGGGTTATCAGTCCTTCAGGGAGGGGCAATCAGTCCTTTAGGAAAGGGTTATCAGTCCTTTAAGGGAGAGGCTATTTGACCTTTAGGGGAGGGGCTATCAGTCCTTTAGGGAAAGGGTTATTAGACCTTTAGGGGAGGGGCTATCAGTCCTTCAGGGAGGGATTATCAGACCTTTAGGAAAGGGTTATTAGACCTTTAGGGGAGGGGCTATCAGTCCTCCAGGGAGGGGCTATCAGTCCTTTAGGAAAGGGTAATCAGTCCTTTAAGGAAGAGGTTATTTGACCTTTAGAGAATAGGCTATCAGTCCTTTAGGGGAGGGGCTATCAGTCCTTTAAGGGAGAGGCTATTAGACCTTTAGGGGAGGGGCTATCAGACCTTTAGGGGAGGGGCTATCAAACCTTTAGGGGAGGGGCTATTAGTTAATTAGGGGAGGGGTTATTTGACCTTTAAGGGAGGGGCTATCAGTCCTTTAGGGGAGGGACTGTCAAACCTTTAGGGGAGGGGCTATCTGTCCTTTAGGGGAGGGGCTATCAGTCCTTCAGGAGAGGGGCTATTAGACCTTTAGTGGAGAAGCAATCAGTCCTTTAAGAAAGGAGCTATTATACCTTCAGGGGAGGGGCTATTATACCTTTAGGGGAGGGGCTATCACTGCTTTAGGAAGAGGCTTTTTGACCTTTAGGAGAGGGGCTATCAGTCCTTTAAAGAGTGATATCAGTCCATTAGAGCAGAGTCCGTCAGTCCTTTAGGGGAGGGGCAATCAGTCCTTTAAAGGGAGGGCTATCAGTTCATCCTTCATCTATTCCTAAATCTTCCAAAAATCCAATCGGATCCCAAAGAACAAAATTGAATTGCTTGATAAAAATAAAGAACTGAGTGCTGACAATAATGATATAGATGTGACTCACACTGCCTGGTGACTGTCAGCTCGACCACCAGTTTCTTTATATTGCCTGTTCCAGGCAGACGAGAGATCGAATATCCTTTTCTGTTCAAAATCTCCACTTTAATTGGACCTGAACAAGAACAGATTTAAACTAAACGTTCAAAATTGACAATAAAAAAGTCAGCATGAGGTCTATGAAGACATGCAGTGGTGCTGTTGGTATAGTAAACTGGTTTATGGAGGGAGTATAATAAACTGGTTACACTTTACAATAAGGTTGTATTAGTTCATTAGAATTTACTAACATAAACAAACAATGATCAATATATTACAGTATTTGTTCATATTAGTTAATGAAAATACAGTTCATTGATAGTTTATGTTAACTCACGGTGCATTAATTAATACAAGCATGAATTCAGACGTTAGTAATGCATTACTGAATCTTGAACTATGATTAATAAATGTTTTACATCACAGGTGTCAAACTCAGCTCCTGGAGAGCCACAGCTCTGCACAGTTTAGCTTCAACCATAAATAAAACACCTGATCCAACTAACTTAGTCCTTCAGGCTTGTTTGAAACCTACAGGTACGTGTATTAAAGCAGGGTTGAAACTAAACTGTGCAGAACAATTTGACACCTCAGTTTTACAAGATTATTTATACTTACCGTTAATAAATACCATGAGTAATGTTTAAAGTGTGACCATAAAAACATATTACATAATATAAATTTCATATTTCAAAAATAAATGGCACACAAAAAAACAAACAAACTTTACATTAAAAATTATTTTTTGTTTCACTTTTGATAAATAACTTAAAATTCTTTCTGGGGACACACTTTAAAAAATATCCAACAAAGTACTCTCAGTACACAAAAAACTGTCTAGAAGACTTTAAAATTTCGTGTTATAATAAAATGTGTTTTTGGGTGAGAGATGCTTTACAACGATTTCATGCTGGTGTGTAAATCATTCTTTCATAAAGTGTGCCGTCTACCTAAAATAACCATTATTGGTCATGGGTGGCCTCAAAAATAATTTCGTAGTAGCTGGATTTAGTGCCATTTATCTAATTTTCCAATTGTAAACCAGACTAAGTATTAAAAATTTATATCCTAAACAATTTTTGTAATCATTATCATTTTTTGTCAGTTTTGCACACTCTTAATGTGAATGTGTCTGTTTACCCATTGGTGTTCCAGCTGGATAAGCATCTTTGTCTTCCCAAGCGTTTCCCTCAGGCCATGTAATCTTCAATTGGTCTGGAAGTCTAATGACAAGCAAAAATATGTTGTATTTTATTGGGTAACAGTTACTAGTATTTACTGTAATAATAATAACAGTTATTAATACTATTACAAGTTCCACACAGCAAACTAAATGTAATTGATTGATTGTTTGAGTTTTACAACATGCAACATTTTCAAGCTATTTTTATGGCAAGAAAATGTATACTAGAGACAAAACTTATATTACGATTTTACAAATTTACTAGATATTTATGTTCGCATATCTATGTTTATTTTACTAAACAGTGTATTTGGTTTAACACTGGTTTAAAAATCCAACACAATCTAACAAAACATGCTTCATAGTTAAAAGGCTTTCGCTTCGCAAATCGAGCATATGGTAGGAAAAACATGTTAGGAACTTGTGTGTCATCCTAGAATGGGTAACACTAATCTGATCCCACCAGTTCAAACTAAAATAAAAGGAAAATGTTATGCAATAAAAATTTGTTTGCTATTAACACTACCGTACTATGCAAGCTAGAGATGTGCGGATGGTTGTTATATTCGCGGGCACTGGGGATAATCCGCGGGTCGGTAATAAAAAAATACTGAACACTTCACTAGCGGGAAGCAACAGTTAAATGGGTATCCAAAGGATATCGAGCCTCCTCCATTCGGCCTCTTTACTTTCACTTTCTCTCTTTCATGGATAAGTAAACGGTGTTGTACGCACCTCACTGAAGACATCTATTAGCCTACATTATTAATTTAGCTTGTCAAGCGTAAAGATTTGTTTCAAAACTATTTCTAAAATCAGTTCTAATTTTCACCAAACGAATAAACGAACAATAATAACGAAGAGTGGTCAAAAAACCAAATACACATGCTGTGCCCCATTTGGTCTCAAAACCCGACAGGTGGACAAATCTAAGCTTGTTTTTAATAAAACAAATATAAATATGCATATAATAATAATACTACTAATAATAATAACATTATACAAAAGCAAATTGTTATGAATGAACTGAAAAAGCCCCTCCGAGATGAAGAAGGCATGAAGGCAGTGGTTTTTATATCTATATAGAAAATAATAATTTTTGAATATTTTTTTTATTTAATTCTTTTTCATTTAAAAAGATATTTGCTTATTGCAGTACATCCTGCATGTTTTAAGCAATGTGTAAGCGAGGCGTACATCTAAGGCCCCGTTTACAGTCAGGTCTTGATGCCCAATTCCGATTTGTTGCCTGTATCTGATTTGTTTGCCCATCTGTTTACACGTTGTTTTAATTGTGACCCATATCCAATTCATGCGTTTACACTTGCCATACAATTTACGATGTTGCGCATGCATAAAGGCAGGTTCTAGCATCTGTGCCATGGTAAGTATAATCCATTTATAAATAATATTGTTTTGTTTGCGTCTAAACATTGCGACCATCCACACAAAATATTCTTATTTTTGTGTTGCTGTCGTATCATGGATATTTTCTCAAATAATCCTTAAACGTGGAGCTAACTAATTACTAGATAAAATAAGAATTTAATCGGTTGTCATCATTTAAACAAGCCGAGTCCTTGCCAGAAGCGGCCCAGACTCTACACACAGACTCAGGTCAGATATGGTTAACAGGAATCAGGCCAGTGCTTTACAGCTGCATCATAAACGTATGTGCGTGAGCGAGCTGCGGGCCGGATTCGGCCCGATGCCGAGTCGGAGCCAGAGCCCTCCTACGTCATTAAACCGCAGAGAAGAACCACATTGTCGCAAGTTTAATGATGTACAGAAAGGAATGCTTCAATAAATCCGATCTGCCTGTTTACATGACAGTTGCTTTGTCACATATCCAATCTATATCTGATTTATTTCCACATATGAAGGAGGCCTGAAACCGATCTCTGAATATCAGAATGCATGCGTTGTTTTAGTTTTTGTAAACGGTCATAGAACAGATCCAATCTGTGTCACATATGAGCAAAAAAATCGGAATTGGGTCACATTTAACTGGCAGTATAAACGGGGTCAAATGTCCTCTTCGCTGGACTATAGACCTGCTTTCAGCTGCTTTATTGCACAGTCTATTTTAGTTCTTCAAAATAGCAACGCACCAGCAATGCGCCTTAACACACCTCTTTTCTAGACCGAAACACCCAATGAGTCCACAAAGTGGATAGATTTGCTATTTAAATAACATGGCGGAAAACAAGAAAATTAGTGTTGCGCTGGTCTGAAAATAGCAACACGTCAGGGCAAACATGTCTTGTTGCGCTGGGTGTATGATAGGGCCCAAAGCCACACAAGCACTTTAAGTTCTTGCATTCGTCAGGACAGCATGCCACTGGAAGGTAGTGGATGCATGTGTGGACCTGTGCTGCCTGAGTCTGAGAAATATTGAAAAAATAACTTTAAAAGCTGAACAACTGAATTACTTAGCAATGCATATAACTAAGCAATAATAGAGTTTTCATATATTCACATTAGGAAATGTACAAATGTTTTTATGATTCATGACCTTTATTACTAGAAAACTTTTTGCCTTTAAAAAATAGATAAATAAATGAGATACAATGGAGTAAATGGCTGGCTTTGTCCACAATGACAATATAATTATCCATAATTTAACATTCACATAATTCTAGAGGTTATGCATCATTGTGAGAAAAGATTAAATGGCAGGACTAACTTTGCGAGTTCATTCTCAATGTTCTCCTCGATGGCTTTCGCTGTGGCCATCCTGTCAATCTTTGAGATGGGAATGACCTTTTTCTCATCGTACAGTTCCTTCGGTTCCTGCAGAAACACATCAGACACAATGATCTTAATACAGGATGTAACCATAGAGGCCTTGAGCTTTAAATAGGAAAATTATCAAAACTTAACTGCCTTAAATAGGCAAATAATCAAAATGCTAATGGTCTAATCCGATTTAATTCATTATGCTAAGCTAAGCTAATAGTGACCCCGCCAGAACAAAACAAAAAAAAAATCAGCTAAATGCTTTCAAAAATGGTTTAAGTCAATTGTTTACCTCTAGACCACTTAAAATGAGCCTCTCAAAAAAGGTGGAGTGTTCCTTCAAATATAAATTTCATACGGCTCACGAGAAGTCATTACTGCATAAATAGCCTAATTGTAGAATATTAAAAACACACCAAACAATGTTTAAAAAAGTAAACAGCTGATTGTGATTATCTAAAGTGAACCAGTGCTCCTCCATGAGTGCATCACTATATTGAATCTGTGCATTTAGTCAAAAAGTGACAGCAACCTATTATATATACTAATATAATATATATAATATACACTAATATATATAATATACACTAATATATAATATACACTAATATATATATATATGTGTGTGTGTGTGTGTGTGTCTGTGTGTATTAGGTGGGCATTGATTTTTTCAATCTACATTAATCTCTCCGTAATCTTGGAATTAAACTAGATTAAAATGGCTCATTTGAATTCTGCCGAAGGCATTCAGAATATGTGTGCTACGCAAATAATGACTAAAAGTAAGTCTTTAA